AAAGATCTCTGCTAACGGTTCGAAAAGATAATGAAAATTCCAGAGCTGAAGTATGGGAATGTAAATCGTTTATCATAAATAAAGATGCCGAAGAAATCCATACCTTTGAAGCACTTTTTCCATCCATATGGAGGAATCATGAAAGAAGGCAGATGGAATGATTAATCGGCGAAGGTCTCAACACATTCCTTTAGATGTAATGAAAACATCCACCAAAACAAGTGACTGCTGCAGGAATATCAATCGATGAATTCGGTGGAGATAAAACATTTATTTTTATAACGAAATATAAGAACATATTGGAGAACGGAAATATAAATCTAAAATATTGAACCATTGTGTAATAAAGAAAATACACAATCAAAACAATGATATTACAATAAGACTTAAAGAAACTAAAATATCACATAAAATACACAAAAGAGGTTTCCTGATATTTGTGAATGTTACCCCATGAATCGATTAAAGCTCGTAACCACAAGAAATAAACTTATTGAATACTCATATGAAGTGGGCGAGAATATAAATGTTAGTGTAACATAACTTGCAGGATTACACTTTCTAAGATAGCCACGATATTTATAATAAAAAAATACAATGGTGGCACGATGTTTGGTGACCAGTCGTATTGCTACGGCTGTCACAACTGTGTATGAGTGAGGAATTTTAATATAATTTCTTACGACCATGAACTTCAAATTACATTTTGACACATTATATATTTCACTGTTCCTTAAATAGTACAAAGTTATAAAACACAATAGAGATGGGATGCTCCAAATCAGATAAAATAACTAATAGCAGAGGCTATAACTAATGCTTTGTCAGCAGGTTTCGCTTCAATATTTATGGATACTGACACTACATTTGCAATCTTCCGGAGAAGTAGATTTGCGGAGTGTTTAAAAAAATGGATCTCAAAATGAAAATTTATTTCTATACTGCCACGGCTACAAAGGCAGCAGAGAATAATGTGAGAAGTGGAGATGGTGTTGATGGGACTGTGCGTATCGGTGGGAGAAGAACGATTCGGAGAGGGCATATTACTAGTTCGTAAAGAGAGAGAAAGGAAGAAAAAGAGAAAGAGAAGGAGGGAAAGAGAGTAGGAGGGAAAGAAAGAGAGTAGGAGGGAAAGAATGAGGGGAGGGAAAGAATGAGAGGAGGGAAAGAACGAGAGAAGGAGGGAAAGAATGAGAAAAGGAGGGAAAGAATGAGAAAAAGAGGGAAAGAATGAGAAAAGGAGGGAAAGAATGAGAAAAGGAGGGAAAGAATGAGAGAAGGAGGGAAAGAATGAGAGAAGGAGGGAAAGAATGAGAGAAGGAGGGAAAGAAAGAGAGAAGGAGGGAAAGAAAGAGAGAAGGAGGGAAAGAAAGAGAGAAGGAGGGGAAGAAAGAGAAAGGAGAGAAATAAAGAAGGAGGGAGAGAAAGAGAAGGGAAAGAGACAGAAAGAGAGAGAAAGAGAGAGGGAGGGAAAAGGAGAGGAAAGGAAAGAGGGGGAGACAGAGAGAGATAGAGAGGGGGGACAATGGTGGGGTCGCGGAGACAGTTAGTGGTACTCGAGGGATGCTGGTGAGGAGGCGGCAGTGGCAGAGGACGGCGGGAAAACAAAACAAGGCGGCTGCGGCGGCCCGCAGGGGACTTACCTGCCGTGTTGACTCAAGCCATCGGAACGAGGGCGCTGACGACCCATCGTACACATGTTTTCGGCGTCTGTGAAGGGCCAGGGCGCAGCCCCTCGAGGGCGGGGGTGCCTAACGGGCGCGTCTAAAGACATATTTTTCACGTTTGGAACGCAAATCTTGAGCATGGAGGGCCTGGACGAGTTTGTGCTTCTGTTGGTGGAACCCAACAAAATTTTGTGTTTCCCATCGACGAAGACAGAGGGATCAAATTCGACAGATAACATGTAGAATACACATTCGTGATTAGCGTAAATGAGGGTATTGAGTTGTACATTCTATTGCGTGAAGTGATGCGTGAAATTAAAGAGAACAAAACATTTTTAAATCAAAGAAATTCGACGCTATACGATACCCATTTTTTTTCATACGACAGTTTCTCTCAACAATAGCAAGTTCAATATTTCGCATAATTCGGCTACTCTACGTCTATCTAAAGGCAGGAAGTTGGGCAGAAAAATTAGGTAAGAAAGTAGTTCGGCTGAATCGATGAATGAAAACGTAGAGGGAAGGGACAAAAGGATGAGCACAATTCTCCTTTCCCCATTCCCAAGTTCCATCCCAAACGGCGGGAACACGAGCTTATTACACACAGGTAGGCTCGACCACGGTGCGTTTGCCGTATACTTAGACTGTTTCGCGCCACAGATCGAGAGCACTCGGATGAAAAATGGACGTTCACGTGGGAGCGCGGGCGACCCCGGGGGCAAAGGCCTGACGTGGGTGGCCGTTCGACCCGCCCCCGCCCCTCCCCGACCTGCGGCTGTCTAATGAATGGCCGCGGCGGCAGGCCTCCCCAAGAAAATTGTTCTGCGGGGACGTACGTCATCTTTTGCGCGCCGCCCCGCCCTCTTCTCCCTCCGCACGCACCGCCCCTCCCCTCCCCCTCCCCCTCGCAAAAAGCAGCCCGCGCTCGGAGAAACCGCGGGAGAAAAAGCCGGCGGTTTCGGCCGTACCGCGGCTTATGGGCAAGGGAGGCGTTGGCGAAATGGCTGTGCGGCTTTGGCGGTGAAGGTGGGGGAGGGAGGTGAGAGAGAGGGCTACGGAGAGGAAGAGAAAAGGGGGTGGTGGTTGAATTATTCAGTGTTGTTTTCAGTGCGGAAATTGGCATGATGATTTCGACAATGCCAGATGTTGAAGAAAAGAAAAGATACGGTGACCAAAGATGGAAGCTGAATGGATGAAGGTGTAGAAAATACAACCAATATGAACAAAAGAAACAAAACGTAGGAAATGAAAGTAGTGAACGAAGAAGGTTGACAGAAAAACTGAAGAAAACAGAAAACTATGAAAACAGAAATAATGAAAGATATTACGTCCAACGACGAAATGTGGTTAAGAAACAAACAAAAATTTGTACAAGAATTAATTTCATAATATCAGAAAAATAAAATTACGGAAGTAACCCACAAGGGCTATGGCGGTAGGCGGTAGTCGGCGACGCCGCAGCCTTTGTCGGCCGCTGATTCACGTTTTGTTTGCGGCACTTGCTGTGTTTAATTGGCGCCGTCATTTCGTCGACGAAATTATCTTCCGCAGCGGCGCGGCGTGCCCTCTGCGTCGCCGCCGCCTCGGCCTGCGGGGAGCCTGCAGTACGTGAGGCACCGGACGACTCCGTTCCCAGGGTTGCCAACGACAAAATAGTGCGCATTTCCCACGCTATTTTTTTGTTTCCGTTTGCAATGAGCAATGATGGAATCAGGATGTTTCAAATAGAATCCTAATTGGTTTAAAAATGATTAGAAAAAAATTGCAAACCAAGAACCATTTACGTGTTCTGCTTAGACCAGGTCAATATCCGGTGCCTAATAAATAAATAATACATCAATGTGTCTCAGAACAATTTATGTTTGGATATGTTACATTTTCTGGTAATTATAACCAAGAGACAGGTTTTCTATACTAAGACACTTTTTCAGTAGAATGTAAATTTTATATTATGTACTAGATCTTCGAAGACTAGACATATCAATTATAACTCTAGAATATTGATATAATTTCAACATTGTGTCAAGATTTTTGTCTGTAAGCAATTATCTTCCTTTGTTTCGTAAATATTTTGAATCTTAACTAAAAACCACATTATAATTAAGACATTTGGTGAAAATGATCAGTACTACCTATAAAAATATACTTTCTGACGGGATCAATGTAGCAATAAATCAATCAAATCAAGGTTGGTTAAATATGAATGATATATTATTCTCGTAATAATAATTATATGCCACAATTGTTTGTAAAGTAAACTAAAAATATACGAGCTTCATATGCTAACTTCGCGATGACAGAGATAAAACAAGCCACAATTTCTTGCACGCGTGAAATTAAATTAATTTCTTTCCTCTGAAAAAAAAAAACAACAACAAAAAAACGCAGCAGTGTTATACCCCACTTCATAAACACAGTGGCTTTCCTAACATCACATTTTCGTTACGTATGACCGCTCGCAATTTCTTAACACCTGAGGATACCAGTTGCAATATATATATATATATATATATATATTATATATATATATATATATATATATATATATATATATATATGTGCTCTACTATACCAGTCCCTCGTTGGACTATGGACATGTCATTGCGTGCCAGCCTGACAACCATGAGCTTAGGAGACCTGTGCTAAGCAGATCGAAGACCTAACCGCCATCTTTCTCTACCTCCGAGAGATCTTTTGGTCTGTCAACTAGCTATATGAACTGGAACTTGAGAGTGAAAAGGGATAGTTCATTTTTACTTCATTCGGGCATCCAACCTGGGGTCGTGGAACGGAAAGCTAGCTTGTTGACCTCCAGCCACCAGGGAGGGGAAAGGAGTAAGTTGCAATATTATATCACAAAACGACCACGTCATAAGAAGGAGACTTAACTCCGGTGTTGGATACATGATGAGGGTTTATTTACGAAAACCGTAGGCAGGTAATCGGACACACATAGCTTCAGAGACATCATGCAGTGAATTAAGGAACTTATCTCGGCTTTTTTTCGGCCAATAACGACGTGCGTACACGTACTTGACCAACGCCATCCACACTTTATGTGTGAAGTCAGCGTCATCTATATTTACTTACACTCAGTAATGTTGGTGACCATAGGCCGAAAATATCTTAAAAGTTTCTCCAATCCCGCGTGATCTGAAGCGAGTCGGATTAGCTGCCGATGTTTTTCTTTCATGAGAGCGTAGGCTTCCGCGGCCGGATTCAGTAAATACTTGACTGTCAAGGACACACCGCTTCCTAGGCATTGGTGCCAACATTTCAGCCGACATTCTGCGTCCTTTCCTCAGGGTGAAATACATGCCAATCTGCGTCCATTCACAGGGTGAATTGCATGCAAATGGTGATTTCGCCCCGAAGAAGGCCGCAGAATGGCAGCCGAAACAGTGGCACCTGCGCGGCGCCTCCCAGACAGCGAAGTATTTAAATCGCTTTTCATTCCTACCCCCATCCCGTTGAGCCTCTTTACAGAGACTTGTTGCACAAAACACACGCGAGGCAGCGCGCGCTGCGCGGAGTAATACTCACCGGCGCAGGTGGGGCAGCACTGCCCAGGCGCGGGCGGCACGGGCTCGTGGCAGGGCGTGTAGCACTGCAGCGCCGACTCGGTGAGCACGCCCGCCTCGCAGCGCAGCGTGCGGCACGGGTCACGCGGGTCGCGCCACTCGGTGCCCGACGCGTGCAGCTGGCCCTCGTGCAGGCACCCTGCGCACGCACGCACACGTTCATTTCCAACTCCCCACATACATGAAGTCGTAGGCTTCCCCGGCCAGAGTCATGTGCGTGATCTGGGCTGTCCGGGTGACCGGCCCTGAGCCCTGAGGAAGACCACGACAGGATGGTCGAAACTTCGGCAACACAGTCTTCGACGCGGCGTCACCCGGACAGCCCAGATCGCCAGATATACATATTTAAAAGAAATAGCTTGATATGTTAAAAAAATCTCATTGTATTAATAATGGGAATACTGAGCTGGTGAGATGGCCGTGATGGTCTCAGACCAGAAGACCGCAGATTCGAGTCCCGCGTCGGGCATGGGTGTGTTTGTGTAAGTCTATATCTGTGTGAAGACCTTTCATTCCTCATCAACACCATCATCAGCATCGTCCATACCCCCAAAGCTAATAACCCTGGGGGATAAAAATAGAGATTCAGCTAAAATGCTGATCCCCCTCCCCCAGAAAGGTACTTGCACCTGCTGAAGCAGGATGCACGCGTAGTTCAAGATGGCCTATACTCGAAAAATATGGGAATATTGCATCAATATTATTTTTCAACTTCGTACAGATCCAATAGTTGAATTCGCTGGACACAATCTGTGAACAATTCAAGTTGCGTTCAATCACAGGCTATATACCATGTGCTTTTCTTGATATTCCTACAATACTAACCCTCATTTTATCCCATAATATCCACCTCACCTTATCTTCAACATTCCACCTTTCTCACATTCTTCCTCTCCCCCCCAAAAAACGACATCGCTGTAATATATGTTCGCAGTCTTCCTCTTCCATCTCACATATCCTACATTTTACCCTCTCGCCATTTAGCCAACCAGCTCTAGTTTCATTTCCTTACATCTTCTTATCCTTCTTGTGTCAATTTTCTTACATTTTCGTTTTAAATAATTATGAATAATTTCATACCATTATGGGAATACTGCTTTGGATGCGATGAGGACGAAATATGGTAATTATTTTGAATAACTTGACTGAAATTAGAAACATGTTGGTTTTGGTGGAAGATTCATTCTTGGATACGCCCCTGGCGTAACATAAAGCAGCGATCGCAGAGGAGCAGATTTTGGCAGACATCGTCGGCAGTGACATCAGTTGATGCCCTGAGCCATCTCTCAGTTATCTGGTGGGTCTATCGAGTGAAAGGATTCGTAATGGTGGCGGTTGCATACTCTCTAGGGACTAGGAATATTGAGTTAGCAGCACACTCTACGTCACAGTTGAAAACAAGTTCTAGTGATTGTGTTCACATAACTTATAATCAAAGCTAAGTATCACTTTATAACCCTTCGTAATTCTGACGGAGTTTCGATTTCGTAACGCGCATTCGCAGATGATCGAAAGATTATATCGAATACTATATACTGTGCAAAACTATTATAATCTTTTCGAAATTTTTTTATACCCCTTTTGGACCACTATGATGTCTATCTCAGCTGATGTCCGTTTCTTCAACGCATCGGAATTTAAAGGGAGAAGAGACTTAATGGCATTATCGAGTGTTTCAACTAGGCTTGTTAGTCCTGACATCACATTTACACAAACAAATGTGCACAACCATTCATTTTCAATACTAGTTTCGAACTCGCGACGATTCGAGATCAGATAGTTATGGTCGTCTCGTAATTGTTATTATTAATAATATTGTTATTATTAATAATATTGTCATTATTAATATTATTGCCATTAATATTAATATTGTAATAATTTTTAACTAATTACTTCTACTAATTGCAGCAAATACCATCAATGGTCCTTGTCGTTAATGAACCCTGTCAAACAAATAAGAGAACGGATGTTTTTCGTAACTCCACATTTAAACATTGTTAAATAAAAATTCTTCAAATTGTGAAGGCCAGGTGCGACAAGAATGCAATATATCTGCTCTTTGAAACTGGCGAATACATTTTTCGTTTTTGGTCATTACGTACCACGAAAATGGTGATTTGCATTTAAGCCTAGTCATATTCTTCGTAATTACATACAAAGAAGTCGTGAATACATAGTAAACAGCAAGAAGAGATTCAAATTTAAGACTACGTATCCCAGCCCATGCAATTGGATTGCTCCAGTTTAATTGATAATAATTGCTGCTGCACATCTTTTTTTTATCACCAGTTACTTACAATATTACTATAGTATTTTGAATTTCTTGATAAATTCAAGCTGAAGTCATCATGAAAGGCGAACGCCTACCCAGTGTTATTGTGAATTTAACCACTGTCTTCGAGGGAGAAATATATTACACCATCTTGTGAAACTAGGCATGTGTGTCCTCCCCCTACATTCACCAAAATACAAACAAAAGCCGATATCCAAGGTGAAATAGGAATCCACCGCTTTTTGAACCGGGAAGAACGCAGGGGATTCTTCTTAATGTGAGGAATGCGCCCAACGTATCAAGTTGCATTTGAAATATTAAAGTATTCTGTGAATGAAGAAATCAAAGATTTCCAGTATTGTTTTTTGAAAACATGTGGTGTACGTTCAGGCACTCACATGAACAAATATACTCTAAAGTGTATAAATATCATGTGTTGAAAAATTGACTAGTTATCTGTATGGATTACCTAGGTTAATCTTTATACACGACCTCTTAATTTCATTATTAGGAAGTTTGTATTATTGATATAAATTATTAGGAAAGGAACCGAAATTCAAAATATTCGATTTACTGAGCAATGATATTGGTAGGACTTCAGTAAAATACTGGCCTTTACTAACAGTCTATGCTTTCTTCTCTGAGACTGTACTCCCGAGTTCACGCTGATAAACTTTCAACGCGACCGCCAGAATTGGAGGATCATGCAAAAAAGTAAAAAAAAGAAAGTAGTGTGCTATTTCCTGCTAATGCTTCTTTAGCGGTAGTATTTACTGACATGAAATAATATGAGAAATATGAATAATTCAAAGGAAACTATTGAGCACCAATTCTTGTAAGCACTCTTGAGAACTTGATATTTGTCTACATGCTGTTGACTCCTCACCTTTACAAACTTCTTTGCAGCAACCGCCTTGAGGCTCAAGAAGCTTCATGTGGCATCCTTCCATCGATGGGCAGTTTAGCGCCTTCTTGCATTCCACGAATCCACTCTGTAACAACAAAAATACTTGTAAAAAACAAGAATCCGAAGTTCTGTGAACAGTATAGCTCATTATACTCTAGGTGAAATTATTTTACTTTTTTGGCACTAAATAAATTAGGACAAATACTAAATTATACGGTTCTTCTTTTCGTTCATTTTCAAAGATTAAGACATGAATAAACCATATAATTTATTAAAAATAGATATTTGATTAATTTATCCCTATTTCAAACACAAAACAATACATTATACCCCAGTGTCTTCGGTGGTTCTGTGACACTTTTCTAATGCATTAACAATGCTGCTTCAGTGAAACAACATTGTTCGTCTATGTCTGACATCCAGGGAATTTCTGGACTGGGTGCGTGGTAGTGAAGCAATTAAAACAGGCCTGCTGCAACAGTGCACGTCTCCGGTTGGCACCCAGTTGAACCCGCCAATGCCATAACTGCGTCTTTCAAAAGACATTCAAGTTAATTCCTTCAATATAGTGTTGAATAAGTTTCTTTAACTCGTTTTCTTGAACATTCAACTTGAGTAGAACATTCAAGTGTGTTATCGAAACGTACAGTAAGATTGTGACGGTCCTGCAACGAATTTCTATTAACCCACTGGACTTACACTGTACTTAATTACTTTATACTGCCAATGAAGTAGTGAGGCAAAGGCAGATGAGACAAAACGAAGCATTAATTTGGTGTATTTAATAGAACAGGAATTAAGTTGGAACGGAACTGATGTCGAGAATTTTGTATACATTTTTGTGTCTTATAATATTTCATTATTTGTGCTTTGTTCAAAAGATCAAAGAAACAAATTGTACAGATTCAGTATGAAGTTGAGAAATTGTTAATACGAAATGGAAGTATGGGTAATGAAAAATCACTACATATCCTATTACCCATATTGCCATTCATTTATTCATACTAGTTAACGAGCAGAATCTTATTGGTGGAAATGAGCCGAAAGAAAGACTTTTGAGACTTGGTATGAAAAAAAGAACCGATCTTGTACACCTAAAGTACATCTCTTGCCCATGTTTTACTACCGTAATAAAAAACCAATTTTTTTCCTAATTTTTCCATTGTCGTGGTATGTGTGCGTTGAAGTGGCGCTCCCTCGTGATTGTTCTCCCAACGCTTCCCCCTTGCGCTGCCAGTAAGTTACAGCGGGCGTTCGCCTCTGGGGTTCTGAGGTCGGGCGCCGGCGCCTGCGCGGCTGCGCACCACGTGTTGCGCGCTGCACGCACTTCCGCTGCGGCGGCGGCGGCGCTGCGATACGGCGTATCGACGGCACTTCCGGTTGCGAAGGCCGCGCAGCCGGCGGCGGGGAGACGGAGGCGGGGAGCGGAGGAGGTAGCGGCGACGATGCCGGTGGCCGTGCGGTAGCGCGGTGGCGGCGATGGCAGCCTTTGATGCAGGGGAGGCAGTAGTGGTGGTGGTGGTGGTGGTGGTGGTGGTAGCGATGGTGGTATCGGTGACAGCGGTGGCAAAAACGGCGTTGTACGTGACTGTGGTCACTCACTATTTGCAGCGTTCACGATCGAAAAGTTTCTGCATTCTTTATTCCAAGGTAACCTTTGCTGGATTAATCACCTTTAGGAGCCCTGAGTAACAAATTCCTTTCGCGATCTTCCTAGAAGTAATGAGAAATGGAGAAGCACTTTCGTTCCGTTACAAATATATTTCATTTTCATTTTGAATGTTTGTCGTTCAAATTAGTATTAAATGTTAAGAAAATATAACATTGTGGAATTTTTCAAGTCAATGTAAATATCAAAAATTAAACTTTTAATTGACTTTCCTTTTGAACGTTTTGTTTAAAAAAATTGTTACTTTTTCTAGATAGCATTTACACCTCCCTTCCCTTCGTTTCGTCATTTTTGAATGGGTTACCCCTATCCTGAACGCGTGTTTGAGGAGACATAATGAATATCCACATGAAAAAACAGTCTTTTCCCAGCAATCCGTCCTCCATTTGTTCGCTGGATTCGCTCTTAATTTCCCGTCGCCGCTGGAGGGCAGAACGCGCTAAATAAAACGGAAGTGGCGATAGCGGCCATAGCGCTCCGGCAAGGCGAAGCAAGGCAGAAGAGGATGTAGCGGAGGAAGTCTTGTCAAAGCCGTACGCTTCGCTGTCGCAGTCCATTCACGCGGGCGATAGCGGCGGGCGCGGGCGCGGGCGCGGGCGCGGGCTTGTGAGTGCGAGGACGCGGTTATCGGTCGCTTCGCCTCTGGCGCCGCGGGGACTTTCCAGAAGGCTCTGCCGACCTGCGTGTTGACTGCAAT